CCATGGAGGCCCCCAAGCGTCCACGGAGACCCCCCACGGAGACCCCCCAGCAAGGGAGAAGGGGAAGAAGGAAGAAAGACCCCTCAATTACAGGTTCACAGGCGAGAAGCGTCCACCGCGGACGCCGCTAAAATCGGCGACGAAACTACCGCCTCAGTCCGGTCAGGGCGGGGACACATGTCCCTAAATCCCATCTCGTCTCAGAGTTTGCCCGTTTTATTTATTTATTCAGTCCGGTCAGTCGCCGCCGTCGCCACCGTCGCCCTCGCCGCCCTCGCCGCCGCCGTCCGCGCCGCCGCCGTCGCCGCCCTAGCGCCGCCGTGGGGCCGTCTCCCCCGCTCAAGTGCGGGCTGCCGGCTGCTACGCCGTGTGGGACACGCCCACGACTCTGCCTGGGGGAATGGCCGCATCGAGTACCTGCAACGGATGGTTGGAGGTACCCCCAAAAAAAAAACACACACACACACAAACACAAACACACACACACACACACACACACACACACACACACACACACACACACACACACACACACACAACACCTCTCGCCAAGGAGGACCATCTTGACAAAAGGCGAGCGCGAGAGCGAAGGGTCGAACAAGGGTGTTTAGATTTATTGCTTGTGTTATGAGTTTGTTTGTTGTGTTATGTGGACTTGGCAAAAACACATAAGAGCGCGCTACTTTTGCATGAATAGGACTGTGTGCATGATGCAGGGCATAGGACATCGCATTTAGTCACGTCTGCGGCGGGTCACGTAGGGGGCAAGCGCGGCCCCGCCTGCTCGCGCGCCGCCTTTTTGCGCTGGTCAAGCTCCACCCCATCAATCTTGTCGTCGTTATACTCCTCCAACGCCGGCTTCAGCAGCTCTTTCCGGCGCCGGTCGATGGCCGCGTCCGAGGTGGTGCCCCTGCGACTCCGAGCGGCTGCGCTTGCGCGGCGTCGCCGTGTCATACTCGAGGTCGATCGCGTTCTTGCGCTTCTCGGCTTCGCGCTGCTCGCGCGTCGTCTCGCCCGTGACGGCGACCTCGTCGGTAAGCGGGCTGGGCTGGAAGATCTGCACACCATCGGCCCGCGCCCACCGCTCGTCCGCCTTTGCACAGTACCATGGTGCTCGGATGTCCTCCGGCGCCTGCGCGTCGTCTGTCGCCGACCACCCCGCTACAGCCTCGGCTCGGCCGATTCCGTAGACCATCCGACGATCCACTTGTCCGGCTTGCCACCCGTGCCCTTGAGGTGCCACATGGCCACTGCGTCATCATCAACCTTCACATACACTGGCCGCCTGTTGACTTTTTTGCCAGCTGCAGTCTTCGCGTACGGCCGAGTCCACGCATACGGTCTCCGCGGGTGGGCCCATGCAGCGACGGGATGGGCCCATGCAGAGCGATTCTGCTGCACATGTCGAGCTCGATTCTCATGTTCGGGGGGACAAGTCTGGATTGCGATCGGCTGTGAATGTGAACGTCCCGGCAAACGAACGTGTGCATGTGATTCGATCACATCACGCCCTCCCTGGCCGTAGTGTGTTGACAGCACAGGTCTTCTACCCTTATAAGTCTCTTGTGCCGGAGCGCCGACCGCTCTTGAAGCCGCGAACCAGCTCATTCAAAAACTCGGCCGTCCCGCCGCAAATCGTCGGCCTCAGCTCGGGAGCCACGGCGCGCATGGGGGGCAAGGAGCGAGAGCGCGAACCGCCACCGGCCACCGACGACGAGGATGCGACGCAGGCGACCACGCAGGAAGGCGACCACGCAGGAAGGCGTCGTGCGGGAGTCATCCGGCAAGCGCAGCCGACAGCGCAGCATCACCAGATCACCGCTGGGCTTGCAAGCGGCGCAAAGCGAAGGGCCGCCGCCATGTCGCAAGGGGAGCGGGCGGCGAAACGAATGACCGATCAGCGGCGACGCCGCCATGAGCAGCGTGGGAAATCACAGCCAGCACCGATCACCTTTGACGCTGCGGTGGCAAAGGTCGCGTCGGAGGCAGCTCTCGGCGTGGTTGAGGTTGAGGATTTCCGCGACTGGCTACTCGACCCACAGCAAGCTGGACAGCCGATGGATGGTGAACGCATCACCGAGTGGCGCGCATCCGAAGAGTACGAGCGCGCCCGGCTCGAGTACATGGACGGTTGCATGTGCGAGGGTGCGTGCACGTGCACCTACGATGGCGTAGGCATCGCCCCAGACGTGCCCGGAGTCACCTGCGACTACTTCGACGAGGCGCTTTTGGAGCCGCGCGACAACGACGGGCAGCCATCAGGCGGGGATTGGGTGCCGGAGGGCTGGGATGGCGTCGAGGCCGATCGGCATGAGGAGCGGGCTAAACTCGAGCGTGCCAAGCGGATTGAGCGAGAGAAGCAAGACGACCTCGCACACGCTTCAGAGAAAATTTGGGTGCAAGATTCTGAGACTGGTGATTGGCGCCTCTCCACCCGTGGCAGCATTGCCAACTTTCGCAACCGCCGTGTACAAGCTTACCCGGGCGATGCTGCTGACGCCGATGCATACCTGCGCGACCCGGGTTCACAGGCGTCACAGGCATGGCTCGAGGCGCAGCTTGCTCCAGGCGGTGGAGGTCCGACACCGCCTGGCTCGCCCGCCTACGGGGATGACTGTTACTTCTCCCACCCGGACTCGCCAGTGAGGCGGCCACGCGAGGAGGCGCCTGACGACAGCGACGCATATGAACTCGACCAGGAACGCGCGCTGGAGTTGCAGGGGCGCATCTCCTTATTTTACGGCCGGCCTTGGGACGAGGTGCCGAGAGGCGCGACGGTGCCAGTGACTTGCGAGTGGACCATCGCATCATTCAGCCGACAGCAGCAAATGCAACGCCCGCTCTCGCCCGCACCGGTAGCCACGGACTTTGACATTGAGGACAAGTTTCTGCAAGAGCGTGCGCGGTGGTTCCGCGACCACGGCGGTGGCGGCGAGCTGGAGGGCTCGACACGAAAGCAGAACGAGGCATTCCAGCGCTTGAAGGACCGCCTCTTTAGCCTTCGCCGCGACCGCGCGAACCCGTCGGGCACACCGCGTGCCTCGCAACGCCGGGCATCGGGCGCCGGATCAAGCACCGACCCCCTTTGAGACTGTGGATGATGCCTGGGACTCGAGTCTGGTTGGAATGGAACATCGGAAGAGCTTTGCATTAGCCATTACGAATTATTAATTGCGAAAATGTTACGAGCGAGGTAAATCCGATGCCGTTTGCACAGCACTCTCGAACGTCGGTGGAGGGGATAAGGGATAAGTGAGTACCTGTGTGCCAGGAGAAAAAGGCGGGGACCCGCTGCAGGTCCCACACTAGTATCTCTAAATGACAGCTGTGAATGTGAACAGCCCTGACGAAGATAAAATCATGGCCGCGAAGCGTCGCCGAGGCTCCGACGAGTCAAGCACGCAGAGTTCCTCAGCCGCCATCACCCTTGAGTGCAGCACCGCAGCGTCTGCGGCGATACGGGAGGATGGCCTTCGCACGGCGATTGCAGCCCAGTGGCGCGAAGGCACCCTCTGCGACGTGGACCTCCTTGTCGAGGGCACAGCGTTCAAGGCACACCGCATGCTCCTAGCGGCCGAGTCGCCGTACCTGAGCGCGCTGGTGACGACGGCCATGAGGGAGCGCGCCGGCCCCATCGAACTCAAGGAGCTCTCCGCCGCCAGCTTTGCCGCCGCGCTCTCGTTCATGTACACGCGCCGCTGCACGCTCGGCTCCCAAGATGCGCTGCAACCCCTGCTGCACGCTGCACACCTCCTCCGCGTGCCGCCACTGCTGGCCGCAGCCGAGGCCGCAGTCGCCGAGCGCATCGACGCATCAAACTGCCTGCGCGCCCTCGGCCTCGCTGAGCACCTCAGCCTCGCCGCCCTCGCCAACACGGCGCAAAAGCTCGCGCTGCAACACTTCGGCACGGCGGCGGAGGCGGAGGATGGCGCGGCGCTGCACACCCTGTCCGCCGAGCAGCTCGGTGACATCATCGCCTCCGACGACCTCGCCGTGAGCGACGAGTCGGTTGTCTTGGAGGCGGTCAAGGGCTGGCTGGCAGCGCAGCAGCCAGCGGCGTCGCAGGCGACGGCCGGCGCGCTGCTCGCGCACGTGCGCTTCGCCGAGCTCAGCAAGGAACAGAAGGTGGCACTGGACGACGAGCCGCTGCTGCAGCAGCACTTCAAGATCGTCGCCACGGCGTACCGCGAAAAGATGCACGGCGAGGACACGCCGCGCGCGAGGCCGCGTTCGGGTTCCTTCCGCTGCTGCCTTCAGTACGACGACCTGAGGGTGGGCATGATGGTGAAGGTGCACCCGGACCGCGCCTTCGTGGAGGAGCAGTGCCGAAAAGTGGTGGCAGGCGCTACAAAGAACTGCGGCTGGGCCGTCAATATGACAAGCACCTGCGGCAGCACCTACCGCGTCGCGGAGCTCCGCGAAAATAGTTGTTCAGCTAGGTTGGACATCCCTCGGGTGATCTGGCACTTACCCTACACCGTGCTGCAGATCGTGTGCGACGCGTGACTTTGATGTGACAGGGCGCGTGCGGCTGCGAGGGCGCGTGCGGCGGCGAAATCCCGCCCCTGCACGCGTGCCGCACGTCATCGGGGATGCGAGATCCCTCCTTGCTCGTTCGTCCTTCGCTCTCTTTTACCCCCCACCCCCCCCATCACGCGCCCCCACCCCACGCGCTCGGCTCTTGGTCTCGGCATGCGCCGGCGGTGCGCGACGCTGCGATGGGCTCCGCCGACTTTAGCATGGACCATTTGAACTGCCCTGAACCCTGTAGTCTGTAGACGCCATGCAGCAAGAAGGGCCAAGAACGGCACCAGATACCGAGCGCTGGACAGCGAGCGCGCTGATGAGCAGCAGCTGTAGGCTGTAGGTGACGGTAAACTGTCGTAAGGTCTGTTGGCTGGGCACTGCTGTGCTGGTGTCTATCGGCCGTTTCTTCTATCCGCCGCTGTACAGCTGACGGTCATGCATGCATACCGTAGTGTCCCTACAGCCACGTACTTATTGCTTGCAGCAGTCGCAAGAGACACACTCGAGAGACGAGAGCACGCGCGATCCACCCCGACTAAAGCCCAAGGAGCGCCTGCACCGCTGCGATATGATCGCTCGCCTGTGCCGCGTCGCGCGGCCCCTCCTGCAGCCACCGCTGCTTGTCGTGATGCACGCTCGCGTTGCGCCACACCCGTAGCCGCTGCAGGCCGGCTCGAGCCTCGCCGGGCAGCCCGCACGTCGAGTGCCAAAAGTGGATGCGCTCGCTAAAGTCGAGCGGCTCCCACTGCCCGGCGGTGAGCGCCATTTTTTCAAGTGTGCGATCGGCGTGGTTGAGTACCTCGCTAAAACCAGTTCGAAGGCCCTTATCTACCGACGTGAACTCACGGGCGAGCTGGACGACCATATTGTCGAACACACCGAACTAACCAAGGTCGACCGCGACAACCGATTCACCCCCAAGATCTTCCCTGACGCTTCGCATGGGGGTGAGAAGCCGCAGGCCGGATACATGATCTTCCATGGCGAGGACCTAATCAGCTTCCACTCCGGGACGACTCCGAACTACCCCGCTCTCGAGCACGCAAGGGGAGTACGATATAGCGACCAAGGCAGTCCAAACGGGACTAGCTCTCTCCGACACCATTAATTTCGCGCTCGAAGACCTACCGGACTTCCTGGCGAAGCACTCGAAGGATAAGCTGGGCCTACCCATGCCGGTCTACTGCGACAACAAGTCGGCCTGCCTCCTATCCGAGGGGAATACCTCTTCCAAGAGGATGCGGCACGTCGCAACCAAGATTGCCTTCCTCCGGGAGCAAATTAAGGATGACAAGCGCGTACACATGTGCCACATCTGCACCCACGGCCAACTGGCGGACATCATGACCAAGCCGCTGGTTGCAATTGTCTTCCATCCGCTCGCCGCTTTCGCCCTCGGGTAGTTAGCTGGAGGACACTGGTGACCCCCAAACGGGCACTATAGCAGCACCAACAGCCGAGCCGCGGCATGTCGGCGCTGAGGGGGCGATCTGTGCACGTTGGGATACACCCTAGTCCCCCAGGTGTGAACGTCACGTGTGAACAGTCTCAGTAGTCACTGTGATCTGTGTGTCTCCCGTGACAGCCGTATAGTGTCTGTGAATGTGTGGGGAGCGAGTAGATAGCCGAACGGGGGATTTCCCCGCGACCTCCCCAGGGTCGGCCTGCGTCCGAGAGGTCTTGCGCCGCTGCACCCGCCCGGTTTTGCAAGCCCGGCGCTGAAAAGTAGGCTGAGGGCCCAACTTCAGAATCGTGCAATCGTCGTGCTTTTCGCAGACTGACCGTCGATCCCTGAGTTTGTTTGTTTGGCTCGCTCTTTCGCTCAGACAGCCGCTGGCCATCACTACTTCGCAAGGTCCTGGCCCAATCGCGCTGAGCCAGATGTACCGTGACGCAGCCATGCAGCGACAGGAGTCGTGGACAGCGCAGAAAAGGCCCATTTTTTTACTCTCGTGAGCTGTGAACAGACGCACTTGCCTTCGGGGGCAAATCGTTGGGGGAAAAAGAAAGAAAGAAAGAAAACAGACAACCCAAGGGAGGGATGGGAGGACGGCACGCCGCCACCACACAGGGATTTTAAGGAGAGGTGTGTGGTGCGCTATCCGTCGCCCACCCTAGGGAGTCTGCCTCTTCCTATCTCTCTTCGCAGTCTCTCGCCGATTCTCGCTGCAACCTTCATGCCACCTCGCGGTCGTCCCACCCTCGTCATTCTCTCCCTTGTCACTTCCTCCTCTGTCGCGTCGTTCTCTTCTGCCTCGTCCTGCGACGCCGCCGCCTGCCGGTCCCTTGTTCTCGCGGCTTCTTTCGCCTTTCGGCGCAACTCCGTCGTTGGGGGCACCGGAATTTGTGGGGTTTAAAAATTCTTTTGGTGCACAATGGCTGCGCTGGCATTCTCGTCGATCGGTCTTTCCGGTGTCAGTTCGCGCCGGCTCGCCGTGCACAGCGCGGGCAAGGCTCCGCCACGCCGCGCGGCCGTGGCCCGGCTGCAGGCCACTGAGGTCGCGGCGAAGGGTGAGGTGCTGTGGGAGCCCGACGCGGATGCTGTCGAGCAGACGGCGATGCGCAAGTTCCAGCGGTCCGTCGGCGTGGAGGGCGGATACGGCGAGCTGTGGAAGTGGTCGGTGGAGGAGTCCGACACCTTTTGGACATCGCTACTGGACTTCCTTGAGATTGAGTACGAGGGCTCCACCACGCCTGCACGGGACGGCGACGTCATGCCGGACGTCACCTACTTTCCCAATGTGCGGCTCAATTTCGCAGAGAACATGCTGCGGCACGGGGCGCCGGGGTCCCCGCTCGCGAACGAGGAGGCGCTCGTGTCCATCTCCGAGGCCCGCGACGACCGCCGCTGGACCTTCGCAGAGCTGCGCGCGGATGCAGCCCGCGTGGCCGCCTCGCTCGCCGCACTCGGTGTGGGAAGCGCAGACGCGTGCGGAGGCTACCTTCCCAATATTGGTGAGACGGTGCTGGCGATGCTTGGCACGGCCAGCCGGGGCGCCACCTGGACCTCGTGCTCCCCCGACTTCGGGCCTGCGGCGGTTGCGGACCGCTTCCGGCAGGTAGGCCCAAAGGTGCTCTTCTTGGCAGACGGCTACATGTCGGCCGGCAAGTGGACGTCGGTGGTCGACAAGGCAGAGGAGCTGATCGAGGCGCTGCCGACGCTCGAGCGGGTCGTCCTCGTCTCGCTCGGCGACGAGCCTCCCGCTTGGCGCAGCGAGCGAACCAAGCGGCTCGTCGTCGGGTGGGAGCAGTTCCTCGCTCAAGGCGACGCCGCGGAGCAGGCCGAGCCGCCGTTTGAGCGGGTGCCGTTCGCGCACCCGCAGTT